ACGTACAACCCTCGAGCGACCTAGGTCCTAATCGAGACTTTGTGATAAATTAGGATGAGTAATACGAGTACATCAAGTATTCAAGACAATTAGAGATCCAACCAGCACCCGTGCAAGCGCATAATTAAACAAAGGACCTTCATATAAAGTTCATGGATATAGAAAGGATCGGGGAGTAAGAGAAAAGATGTAACACCATACTGATCTTCATACACCGTCAACTATCATTCCCTCTCTGCTTGGTATAGCATTTTCGGGGCTCTGCCTCTCCCAAATGCGATCAGGCTTCCGTCGCTGCGGCACTCCTTCGCATAAGTCTTTCGGCACACTTCGCGCCGTTTCGTATGTTTCTCCATCGAGTTGGAGCTCGCTCAATGACGTTCGAGCGCTCGCCTCGCCTAACCGGAGACCCATTCCAAGGGTATCAGAGGAGGAATGAGCAGCGGGCGTTGCTGGTGTAGAATAATTAGCTGCGGGTGTGGAGGGTATAGAAGAGAATGGTGTCGAGGAAGTAGATGAAAGGCCTGGAATAGAATTCTGCCTTTGGTGTTGTCCGAATGATGATGAGGCATGATCAAAGGGCTCTGAATCATCATGAGATTGCTGGCGCTGTAAACCAACGATGCGCAGACGTTCAACCCAACTGAAAATCCATTAGTTAACAAGGTTATTGTGCCAAAGAACTTGACATACGCATCAGCACGGTCTAGGCTATCCTTAACGACACCAGTAACCCCACGCATCATATCTAGACTTTCTGTGGCGAGTGCCAAAACACGTTGCGCAGCCTGAGTGGCAGCACTGGTAGTTGGTCGTAGGCCTACACGTACGGAGGCCAAAGGGGATGATGCACGAGAGGATGCAGGTGTACATGCTTGGGAGCGATCAGGGCCACCAGCGTTGCGTTCCTTATGGTGTCTGGTGGTCCGTGTACGTCTCATAGCTCCAGCACCGCCAGCAACAGCGCCAACTGCTGAACTAGCGCCTGGGGCGCCATCTGCTATAGCAGGAGCTGAATTAACACTTGCAGTTGCCCAGCGCTGAGGTAGATGCAATATAAAGCCCCTGACACGTGACCGAGCGGGCTCCGGTAGTGCACTGCCGGCATATTTGCTTACGATATCAACCACTTGACGAATAGTTTGCACAATGTCACGACGAACGTCGGTTAACGTCCGCATATGCATAGGCGAGATAAGGGTATCGGTGCCAGATGAAGAGTCTGATGGATGCAAGGATTCGATGAAATCTCTGAGAATAAGGATCTGTGCGTCGATGTGTTGTGTGGCGTACTGGTGGGAAATCACATGCGATTGAGATCTGAAGGAAAACCGAATGACAAACCTGGAGCCATTGAAGACAATATTTGAGACGCCGCATACTTTCTTCGCTTACGGCGGCACTGATGCCTCCTGCTTCTAGGAGAACAGCTTGCCAGCGGCTCCTCTGCACCACTGCTTGCTGACCTTGAGGGTCAGGAGGTGCGGCAATTTGATTTTTTGGGGGCGGTGTTTTGTTATCGTTCTGAGGAATAGGTGATGGACTACGGGCTATAATTACAGATGAGATAATACGATAAAGAAATGCAATGATGACAATTACATGGTCGTGGGTCCGTGGCTTCTTGTGCTTGTCGCGAACTGAGATAATCCCGACTGGTCTGCCCTTCCTCTAATATTCGCTCTCTCGATGCCTCGTCAACTTGCATCCGTTCGAGGTCAGTATTTGATGGGGGACGATATCTACCGAGCTGCAAAAATTAAGGAAGATAAGCTGGTATTAAGCACAAAAAAGTCTGTACTGACCTTGTCGAGTTGCCTACAGGCAAACTCGTCTAGTTGATTGACATTAACTGGTAGTCTATCGATTACAGGACGGGATATGGTCTTCACGGATGACTCCATCATCTCAGCACCATACTAAACAATTTATTGGGGTCAATAAAACGCGCATAAGTTTCAAGAAGCTCACCTTGACGACACGCGAACTGGCTTTACCATGTTCATATGCTCGCAAAGCTGTGTTGAATAAAGGAAAATTGGACACTCTGGCCACAAAATCTGGAGAGGTCGTATCTGGCGACAGAGAAGGGGATGGGGTTGATAGCGCGCTTGAAGCTGATGTAGGAATTTGGGTTCATATGTGCCATATAGATCACCGTTGTTGAAGGCGTGAAGTCTACTCACCATTGGTTGCAGAAGCTCTGGCCCCATTCCTCATGTCGCCCAGTGCGCTCACTGCTATGCGTACACTCTCGTCCTCATCTTCAAATATCGTATGTTTGCTCGCAGTTGAAGACGATGGTGAAGACTTTTCGGACATCATCTACAATTTTGATAATGGGATATGGACAGGGCAAGCGAGATATACTAGAGAGAAGAGAAACTTGCAATTACACGTGCAGTCCAAGATTATCACAATAATTGGGGTACATATTTTCACGTGTTAATCATCTGACCAAATACTACCGCGGCTTGTCAATGTCAGACTTCAGTGGCTGCCGCCACTCTTCATGCACATGCGCCAAGTCATCTCCTGAAAATACATAGACTCATCATGATCAGCTACTGGAAGGTCGCTGTACTAGGACTTTCTGATCTACTGATAGTGAGTGCTGGATTAAACACGTGCAGCTTTTTCACGTGTTACAACCCATAAAATTTTCAGAACTGCTGGCTAGGACGTCCTCTGGTGAGCTTCAGTCGTTTCCCATTTGTTTCCGTGAACAGTAGGATGACTCTGGTATTTAAGTTCCGAGAGTGAACAAGAGTTTGACAAATCCTACCCCAATTGCAAAGTCCTCCGAATGTCTCACCTCAGATCACTCTATTGATTTTAGATCTCAGCGGCTTTGTCAATGACAGAATGACTCCAGTCTATGTCAGCCACTGCCATTCAATTGTACCAAACTGGTAGGCTCGGCGAACATGAACTCCCATTCAATTGATTTCCAGACCGAATACTTATATTCGTTTCCAGTTATTTGGCCACTACTCAATACCCTTGTCTGCACCCATTATCTTGTGCAGCACAACATCCGTCATGACTGAATATGCTGGGATGTTCTATGAAAATCTCTCAGGTCCTGACGGCAGCCCCGACCTATGGATGGCTGACACTTCATTTGCGTCTTATGCCCCTGACAATTATTCCACCATGTATGACACCGATGGACTCAGATACCACTCGGATTTCAATAATATGTCCCCAAGCATCGGCAGCAGTTCCACAAGCTCCCCTGCATCTGATTGCTTCGAACTCCAACCCTCGCCCGACCCCATGTACGGGCTTAGCTCCTCTCAGTGGTTCAGCAGTGACGAAGAGGGACAGTTTGATGCCATGGGCTTCGTGCGTGCTGAACGCCCTTCATCGCAGATCCTCACGGATCAAACACCTCTTCGTACCGTGTGTATGTCGGATGTTATCATTCCCAATGGATCATCTCCGTCATCCCTGCCGCCCCAGCCCGGCTCGGATCATCTGCCTACCATACCTTCTCCAATTCATGCCTCTCATGGGAACCAGTCATTCGAAGAAGAATCTGACGCCGAAAGCGATGGAGACTTGTATTGCCCTTCTGACGCATCTGAATCTCCTGCTTGCCGCTCAGCTGGTCCAGCTTCACCCCTATTCCAGTCTTTGTCTTTGCCACCGCCGCCTCGTCGCGGACGTCAAGATGTCAGTCTTCCTACCCCTGTTCCCAATCTGACAAAGAAGTCCCGCGGACGCAAGGTTCCAGTCTCTTCAGGGGGACCCGTATATGCGCGCAGCAAAGACAGGTCGAAGAAAGGCACCAGGACATATACCTGTCACGTCGATGGCTGCAGCAAGTGTTTCGTGAGAAGCGAGCACCTCAAAAGGCACATTCGGTCTATCCACACTAACGATAAACGTGAGCGAGACTTTTCTGTATCTCCTGCATGCTAGAGTGACTGATTTTTTCTCGACTGATACAGCATGGGTGTGTCCCGTCGGGGGATGCGAAAGGGAGTTCAGCCGCCGTGACAACCTGAACCAGCATATGCGCATTCACAAGAGTCCGTAAGATGATCACTTTCTCTCATTACGCTCGTATGCATGACAGTGCAAAGTGTGGAGGGGCCTTTTTTTTATCGATGTTGATTTCATCCCGTTCTTTGTATACGTATCTACGACTCGATCTCCACGATTCACGATAGTCACGAATCACGATTTACGCTGTAACTCGCATTTTTATTATTATCTATATCACTTCGTAGAAGTATGTCCAATCACTAACAGTCAAAGCACACATGAACTGAAACCGCACGGGCCAGGTATGGAGAACGTGCCATAAGGCCTAGGCCCTGAGGCTGTGTCGACCACGTTATTTGTCACAGTCTGGAACTGTCTGGTGCACTGGTCATGATCAGCACCATGGCATGGTACACGGGTCAATGTAGATGTCGATAGCTTTGGCGACACACTCCCTACTATCTTTCTCCCAGTTTCTGAATCATATGATGGATGCGATTGTCTACCCCTTCCTAAATCAAATCTACAATAATCCGATATCATGTCGCGGTCTACTCACAACTTGTTCGATATTCTAGATTCTAGAGGACCTTTCCACATCCAATGGGGACAACAGCACTGAGACGGAACCAATTCTCACTTTCAGATATTCTGGAAGAAACGGAAACACAGGTGCGCGTGTCGCATCGTTTTGACTCTGCGGATCATTTGACAAGATCTTGCCTGACAAGAAGTATGCACTACCATCGCGGAAACTGCGAGAATGCCAAACCACGACTTGGCACCTGAATGCAGACGCCAGTACACCCAAAAGGACAAGGGAGCAACTGATAACGAGGCGCTCATTTTTCGCTTCGCAGGCCCATCTGTATATTCACCCATGGGTGTCTTGTTCTGTTCATTTCACTTTCTCGCTGCTGCTCTCTTTTCACCCAACCGCTGCTGTATCTTTCACTCGCTTGTGGCATTATTCACATCCGCTCGCTGCATTATGTTCTTTCTCGTCTCACTCGCTGTATCATCCACAATTTCTCGGTGCATTATGCTCGTTCATTATTGTCGCACTCACTTTGTAATGTTTGTAGTAGTACTTGTATACTGTGCTCGCTATACACGCCAGGTCATTTTCAGATGTTTGTACATACACGAATGGGAATCGAGCAAGTCTGTGCATGTTGCATTTCTGAATGCAAGCACGATGAGTTTGAGAATCGAGACATACCCGAGGGGTCGTCTTCCAACTTGATTGGATTCCGCAGACGATGGTGTGTTCAACTGCGGCTATTTCTGACTATCGACCTTCATAGCCCAGCATTAATCTCATACATCTTATCGTCCCTACCTCAGGCTGCAATAAATGTCACTTTGAAAGGTGGAACGCTAGCCAACACCAACTACGACTCTAAACCCCCGCGCAGCCCAGATTCCCATATCTCCTTAACGCCCTCCCTAAACCACACGACGTTCCACTCTACCAAACCCCTGCGCATATCATACACCGTCGTCGGAAGGAGTGCCAGCAATGCGAGGTGCGGTGTGACAAGGTGGTACGTGAGCGTAGTTCCTGGACGTGAAGGTGAGAGCGATGTCGCTGCTGAGGGGTAGAAGTGGGGCTTTGAGGGTGGTGGAACGGGAGATGTCGATGAGGTGAGTGGCGGTGTTCCGGCAGGAGTGGCACCATAGGTGGGAGTGGGTGTCGTGGCTGTGGGTGGGGGCGTTGGTGCTTGTGTTGGGGAAAACCGACTCATTCGTGGATCGTCGGCGTTGGACCTGGTAGGATGGTTTAAGAGTGGGAGGGAAATTTATGGTACGTACGTACCTGTAGAGAGGTCCAAAAGAGTTGAGCATGGATAAGTAGTCGCAGCAGAGATTGTGCGTAGCCTGGTCTACTGGTGAGGTGTCGGTTGCGACGTGGATTTTACTAGATGTGTCGAATAGGAAAGCTTTTGGAGACGCTGTGTTCTGCAAGCGATGAGATGTACCCGTGGAAATAAGTGGCAATGAAGGTACATACAGAGCAAAAGACGTTTAATAGTTCTTCGAGGTATGGCAGGGAATCAATCAACTTATGAAGCACGCGAGAGAACGCCTCTCGAAGAGAATGGTCATATATGGAGGTAAGATGAAAATTGAGAGGGAATTGCTCAAATTCGGGAGATTCATCTACGAGGCGGTCCATGACGCGCTCGTGTATCTGGCGGAAGTTTTCTGTGTGCTGTTTCATTGACGAGTAAAGAATGCATACGGGACTGGCATACCTATCTTGTCGTCCTCTTGAAGCCTTTCCGCTTTGTGCACGAATACTTCAAAATTTATGTCTGGGTTGATTTGGCATGCAGCGACTATAAATTCTACGAGTTTTGAGACAGGATGTTGGTAGAGATCCTGAACATCTGGATGAGGTTGGGGGTCAGCGGATGAATTCAGCACACGTACTCGAATGTCTATGACAAAGACTATAGTTGAGAAATCGGCGAGAGATGCGCCGAGTGTGTTGACGGTGGTGTTTCCTGGACAGTCCCATATCTCCAACGGAATGACGGTGCTGAGAAACAATGTTAAGTGCTAGGTACGAACAGAAGTCGTGTACGAGTACATACTCAATATAATGCTTTGCAACGCGCATGGTGGGCTCGAGGTAAAAGGTCTGTTTAACTGGGAGATCATTGAAGAGGACTTGGAGTATGGAGGTCTTTCCACTCCTGTGATAAGTTAGAACTGGCAAAAAGAGAAAACGTAGAGATTCACCTTCTCATGCCCAGAAAGAGTATTTTTGTCCTACTTGTTCCATCGGAAATGGCTGCGCTTGAAGAAGAGTTCATCGCACATGTACTATGATAAATTACAGTAAGCTTCGCATGCATACGGTACTGCTGTCAGCCCGACTCAGCCGAAAGCCTTTGAATTCAACAATCACAAACACGCACTGGTCCGATTTCAACTCACTTGAACCTGCGCAAAAATCGCCATGTCCTAGGCTTTACATTACCCTGCTATATTGAACACCTCTCTTTCGTATACGAGCCCATCAAAGATTAAACTTCCCGCCATCGATACCTAGAACCATCAATCATGATTCAAATTCCATAGGCGCTCTGAGTCCGGAACTTTATTCTCCTCCTCATGATCATACTGCCGATATATAACCGGTCACTGGCACCCACAAGTCGTTTGCTCGTTGCAAGCCCACGTGCGAGACATGCGTGCATCCTTCAATGTTCCTGCAAAATACTTTCGAATTTTCCACGTTTGCCCTGTTTCCACTTTCTATCAGACACTTCATTTGATCGATCGTTTGCTTGCGCTATGCGTGACTGTGATCATTGCCGACGGATGTACGTATGCATGTTTGCATTTCGTTCGGTGCTTTACTCTGATGGGATAGACGTGCTTAACAGGGGCTCCAACAGAATATCTTGGTCGACGTCTGCTAGGTAGACTCGGATCGAGGTCTTCTGATTTTTAAAGGCCCGATTCTCTCATTCTCCACTCCCCACTCACACCTTATTCCTTGCAATGTTCATTCGTGATAGAAGTATACGTTTCCCGCGAGGAGCGAGAGGTTTGTCACCGTTATGCAAATCTCTGGCTGACTACCCACAAATATGTTACGGTGGGGATGATAGATATAGTACGTTCTCAAATGCAGGGAATTTAGCCTCTAAAATGATTATCCTATTGCATTATTCTTGCTGTTGCTCACCGATGTGCCCCAGATTGATTCATCTCCATTGCACATCGTCGAAAATGTACTTACGGCCACCGCACGACGTGCAGTGACACTAGCGGCATCCAAATTCATAGCAGAGTCATGATAGAACCTAAGATCACTTCTTGCCTGCAATTATTCATTCTACAACGTGGTTTGTAACATCGAATAGCTGCGAGGCACGATACCTCAACTACAATTATACCTACCCTGCTTGGTAGATAAATGACCGTCATGCTCCAGCATAGGTCCCTCAAGTAACAACTCGAATGCCAGTTGATCAGCCAGTTTGCGGTACCCCTTTAGAGTATAAAGCGACTGAAACCCCAAATAGCATCTCTCTACAAGGTCCCAGGACGCTTCATGCGATCCAGATGGACGCGCATCACTGAAATTCACTGTCCAAAAGTGGGACTTGTTTTCTGCGCATGTGAAAGCATCCAACTTCAGCCATTCTTCTAGTGGTCTGTTTTGGCCGAGGAGCTTGCCGTCTTCATACCGGAGGCAGATCCAGGTGAGGACCCAGATGAACGATTCAGCATCATGCGCGTACACGTTCTTGACCTCGCCTGCTATGGCTTTTGGCGTGAGAAGGTTTATCGCCATGAATGGTACCGACCCCGTGCGCTCGAGGCCGCTGGGACCATCACGTTTAAACGACGATAAGTCGTAGTCGTTCAGAACAGCTATAAATCGACCGCGTAAGCGGTACCCCATGAGATTGCTGGGGCTGATATCCCGGTGATACACGCCCATCTTCCAAAGGGCGTGGTGACCTGTCGAGTAGTGGATAAATGATAAAGAGCAGGAGAAGAGATATATATTTACACTTCACAACTTCCCACCATGCGGCAAGGAAGTCCTTGCCAGAGAGCGTTGTGATAGGGATAAGCTTTCTGAATATGATTATAGTCAAGACACGGCTGTCTAGTTTGACCTGTTCGACGGCCTTCGGCCCTGATACCAGTCTGGCTTTGTACGTGAATGATCCTTTAAACTTGTGAGACCAGACAAGCCCTGGGGTGTGGCCCAACGCATCAGGATTCATTTTCGAAATCTTGCAGACCTCGTCGGAGATAATTGGCTCGTTCTGATGCGTGTCTCCCGGCCAATAGAGCTCGCAATGGGGATGCAGCTGGTGACCCAATAGCCCCTTGCTCTTAACTGGAAAAACGGTGGTCACATTACCAATACAAGTCGGGCACTTGTCAAACTTCAAATCCAATTCGAGGTCGAATTGTATTTCCTTGGCCATCACTTCGCCCGAAAATCTGGGCTCAGACTCCAATACCTGCTTAAGGCCTGTGTGCCTTGCATGCAGCCCCTGTAGTATGGTGTCCGTCTTCCATCTCTCGAACTTATGGACGTCTCGCGCAATCCGTGGGCGTACAGTATCGACTCTGCATAAATGGTGAGGTTTAATACGAGTGATGGTGGCTTTAAAAAAAGGTTGACGCACTGAATGCCTAGAGTATTGACATGTTCGCTGGCAACAACGAAACCGATTGCTCTTGGAGTAGACTTGATCCCAGCCTCAATGGAGAATCTAGTGTTAGCACGGAAAGGTATCTTTTGTGGGGCGGCACCAGCATTACTATTGGCCATGACGAGGCCTAAGGTAGGAGAGACTCGGAAAAGTGAACTTCGGGAACAAGGTACGCAGGCCTGAGCTCGCTTTTAACCTGGAACGACCCTACTGTCGGCAGACATTCAAGTCAAGGTTGTACACAATAATGTAAGTATAGTCACTCTGGTATGCAGTAGTGACTATGAATGGCGCGGCATGAATCAAACATACTGTTTTGGATTCGGCACATATTCCGAAGTCAGATCTATCTCAGACAGCCTCGGGACCAGCCGAGAACTGTCGACGCGTTACTAATGGCCTGTAGTCAGCATCAAGCGCCCAAGGCTTCACTTCACCCCGACTTGATCGCTTTTCATCGCGCGAAACGGACGAGAACGACGAGAAATTTGGCAAGATCTTTGCCATATGCAAAGAAAATCTGTATGATGTTCCACTTCCGGGGCTGGGCGTGCGTTGCAAACGGTCCAGACTGGACGTCACCAGGATCAGACAACTTCAGTCAGCCAGAGCTCAGTTTGGTTGTACGACCATACGGTTTCCGGCAATTGCAATCTACTGAGGATGCTACCTTGTCATACATGTCTGTTCAGCGGCCGATCAGGTGCGGATAGCAAATCGTTCGTCATGTATCGAGTCAAGATAAGATGTGTATCGGTGGCCTTAAATACGTAGTCTCAGTCGTTGTTTTCATCATTCTTCAAGTTACTCCTCCAAGCATACACATGTCTCTCCCAGAAAACACGACCGTGCTTATTGTCGGTGCAGGCCCCGCAGGTCTCACAGCTGCTCTTTCTCTCGTTCACCACAAGTGCTATGACTTCGTTATTGTGGATGCCGCAGCTCAAGGACTAAATGCATCGAGGGCGATCACCATACACTCTGCAACCATAGAGGTAAGCTACATGCGCGTTCATAAGAACGCCTACTGATCTTCTTATGATTTTAGGTTTTGGCCAGCATCGACGCAGTAGATGGCTTACTGTCTCAAGCCATCAAGGGGAAGAGCATTAGAGTCACATCCCGTGATTCGGAAATCTTCGAGGCCAAATTTGACCCTTTAAAACAACATTCTGCTCATCCTTACGCACTCTACATCCCTCAAAATGTGACGGAGCTTGTACTTGTACAGAAGTTGCAGAGCCTTGGTATTCAAGTGCAGCGTCCCCACAAAGTAGTGGGGATGAAACAAAACGAGAAGGATTCAGGCATCACCGATGTGTTCTTCGAGGACGGTCAAGTTATTAAAGCTAGATATATTATCGGCGCAGATGGCGCCCGCTCAACTGTGAGATCTCGGTGCCCGCTGACTTAGCTTGATTAATGCTTAATGACTATTTCCAGATCCGTACCATCGCTGGTATAGGGTTCTCTGACGGAGAAAGCCCACAGCTAGCCGATAACCCATTGGCTCAAATGGTCTCTGCAGACGTCACATTCGAACCTGAACCTGTCGGCCCATTCACCCTCGAGGGCTATTTCAACGGCACATTTTTTTCAGGCAATTTCTTTTATCTTGCACCGTTTGGCAACCACTTCAATGCCGAGCTCACGCGAGATGGAAAGCCTACTACAAAATCCATCTTTCGCATAGGTTGTGGCATACCTCCAAAGAATGGAGAACCCCCGCATGCTCCATCGAAAGAGTACATCCAGAACTTGATCGACACGTACGGACCAGCGTGTATAACATCAGATCCGTCTCTTAATCCAAAACCAGTCAAAGTCGACCAGCTGGTTTGGTCGACACGTTTCAGAACCCGTTGCGCCATCGCCGACCGTACCTTCACGCGTCTTGGAGCCGCTATTTTTCTAATCGGCGACGCAGCTCATATACATTCACCTGCGGGTGGCCAGGGCATGAATCTGGCCATCAGAGACGCGGCCTTCCTTACAGAGGCTATCACAAAGCACATTCAGGCGTCTGCAGAGAATCCCGATGTGGATGATACCATTTTGCAGGACATTACCGACGTGCGTCATGCACGAGCGTTAGAAATCATCGGCTATACCAAGACACTGATGAATCTCGCAAGCCTTTCGTACGAACCATATGCTTGCTGGATGCCGTTCAGTCGGGCCTCTATCCGTGATCTGATATTGAGGATATTGAATGGATATGATTTCGTGCAGTCGAAAGTTGCGTGGGGCCTGAGTGGCCTTGGAAGGCGCTGATTGCATATTTTTGGATGGCTTGATTACCATATTTATACTATAATTCACGACAGTTGTATGTCTATTTCAAAGATAGGATAGACATGAAGGTATCAAATATTTCAGAGTAGCGTACTTACTGACTATGGCCATTTAATATTTAACATTGGACGGACTTGAATATGCTCTTGATCAATGGGGGTGCTAGACTGTAGGATGATTGTCATGAAGACAGAACGTAATTGAGATCAGAGCATACATCATAAATTATTCTTGCAAGATGAAGTAAAATATACATCGGGCCGGAATGCGATTCGAGACGAGTTCAACGTTGATGTGACTCCATTAACGAGGTCGTGTCTTACATGTGTCTGGTAAGATGAGGCAATAAAACCGACTTTATCTTCACCGTCACTGGATGACTGGGTGTAATTGGAAAAACAAAAGGAAGACCTGGAGTCAGTGGCGTCCTGACCCCCCAACGTAGTGAGACAAGCTTACGGTATGGTCATTTTTAGCGCTCCGCACGTGCCGCAGGGAATTCGATTGATGTGGTCTGCAACCTAAAATTTGGGGTGGTTTGTGTGCGCCGAACAACAGGCCGGTTGATAGTACCCGTACCCGTCTTCTGCTCACCCTGTTTCACCTTGAAAGAACCTGATCAGGTGGCAGCTAATGCGCCTAGAGCTCAATGTGAACGCGATACGCGCAGTGCAACGAAATATGTTAGTTGAAAAGCGCGCGTGCGCCAATCACTGCTCTGCACCGACGCTTCATCGAAGTGCAAATTCCACAAACAGGTGAAGTTCATTGCCTACCTCACATCACTTTCTCCTTTAATCCAGGACGTTCCAATTGGACTGCAAACTGTAGACAATTCCCATTACGACCTGCGTACGCGACAACAGCTGCCAAGGACTCACACTTGCGACGAGCCGTACTCGACCTTCGTACAGATGGTTTCACACACGGTCAACTGTACACTGCGCTCTCCAGAGTGCGAAATCGGGGGGATATTCAGGCGTTGTTCTCGCGCATGAGTGAAGAAAGACAGACAGGGGACGTTGTTTATTCTTTATTACTGCTGTAAATGTTCGTTCCTATGGTAGAACGTTCAGACCGTCCGCAAGCGAGCAGAGCGCTTGTTACAGTATGTAAAGGATCAGCTTGAATTACCAGTGTAGTCGACTCATAGTTGACAAACGGTTCCTCTGCAAGCCGAGTTCAGTAGATTGCAGCTTATTATACTTGTTCGAGCGACAATTGGCTGCGGGCATCGAACTTCTTGACGAGTGGGAAATAGATACTGGGAGAGAGTAAGAAATTAGCATTGAGCATGGCATATACTAGTAGTACTCATTCAATCATATGATCATTGTGCTGACTATATAACGTAATTCTGATCATAACAGTTCTGCGGCAGATATGTACAACACTAGTATGTGAGAACACATCAGAACATGGCATATTCAATCATGCATTTTGGAATATCTTACCATTGTTCCCGCGAATAAATGCGTCCCCATATCGATTCGTAACTACTCCATTGACATGCTCCTCCGTCTGCTCGAGCGCGATGTTCATGTATCCATCTAGACACGAAAGGACGCCTACGCACATAAGCTTGGTTCTAAATTGATGCAAGAAAGGAAAAGATACCTCGATAATCTACGCCTGATGTAAGACGCACGATGACCTTTTTCCCAACCACGCCTTTCAAGAAATCAGTTGGTGTTCCTAATGGTGCTGATGGTGGGGGTGGGGGTGGGTGTGGGTACGCGTCGATATCTGGCGGTGGGGGTGTCGACTCGTCCATGATGAAAGCCAAGTCGAAGTCAAGGATTTGGACTTGTTTGGTTTTCGAAATCGATGACAAGGTGCCGATTCGGAGCTTGCCGGAGAGTCAGCACCACGCGTCCAACTGAGCGTGACGCTTGGTCTTTCTACCTTCTCGTTACTATTCGAATCGTAGTATCTGCGTATCAGAATATCTATTACTATCCTCTCGTTTACTCGCCCCTCACATTCATAATACCATACCATACGTTATCACTTACTTTCTATCATAATCGCACCTCACTTGATCCAGTCTTATCCGCCTGATCAATGACCCATCAGCACCTAAACCTGCAACTTCCAGGCCTGCTGGCCCCTCATGCCAGTTCCTCAGGATCATCTGCACCTGTAGGGCCACTGCATCCATCCGACTCTGCAGAGCCTCCAGAAGAGCTAGGCCAAGGCGCGGCTCGCGCCAAAGCAGCAGCAACAAGGCAGTCAGCCAGACTCGCTAGCGTCGGTGCCGACGCAGATGACGATTCAGCGCCTCAAAGCAACGCACCCAGAGTAACACCCCTCCCTGGTGCTCCAGCAGCCAGAGCCGCAGCTGCAGCCGCAGCCGCAGCCAAACCGGCGGCCAAGCCAGCAGCCAAGCCAGCGGCTAAGCAGCCATCCAAGCAAGCAGCATCGAAGCAGCCAGCCCCGGCCAGCACACCATCTGCACCAAGTACACCGAACCCACCTGCCGCAACACCAGTGCAGCAAACGGTTGACGTGGCAGCGCTGCTTGCCCGGATTGCTCAACTCGAGCAAGAGCAAGCAATAAGGACCACACAACCCGTTGAGCTCCTCCCTCAGGCTAAGGCTCCCGCACTTCCATTGTTTGCGTCGCCAGAGGAAGTAGAAAGAGCAAGGGCCGCCATCATCGAAGCCAAGAAGGACGAGCCCAAGGTCTCCCTCCCTGATGTGGTACCAGGCTTCAAAGCAAACCCCCTCGACACTGGTGAGGATCTCTATCTCGTTCTTAGCCAGATTTGCGAGTTTCGTGCTACGCGCACCAAGGAGGCAGTGCTCAGCGTCTTGGGTCCCAACCTTCTAACCCAAGCATGCAGATGCAGCTGCGCATCCAAGCGCACTCGATCTCAACACTGAGCTGAAGGCCAGTGCGAATTATCAGAGCTATAGGCTCAGTCGCTAAAGGCGACCCACTTGCTACGTCAGGCTGCAGGCCAAGCTAGCTTTTGTCTGGCCATAGAGTGGTCCGGGGCTGAATGCTGCCACAATTTCGTGTTCGCCTCGCCATTACCGAGGATTTCGAGAGCTAATGCCAGTCTCGTTGTTACAGCCGTTCCACCCAAAGTTGACGAGGCGTTCAAAGCCTTCAAATATGTCCCATACAGTACGCTCACTTCGTCGGCTCGATGGCAAGCGATTAGGACTGGCGAAGAAGCCTTCACCATCTCTGCGTCAGGCTCGCTGATGGCCAAAGGGCTCGATCGCCGGAATGAGAGGAGCATAACGTTGTCAGACTGGATAGGAGCGGCTGATGCAGCAGAAGATCGCACGGGTCATTACCACGGGGCCGCACGCGCGAAGGCACTGAAAGCCCACCACAGTGTAGTCCTGGGTTTGAGCCGCTCCCACTCATGGGATATTGCAGTCGAGTATGACATCCAACAACGTGAAACGGTAGCACAGCATCCGCAACACGACCTATCCCAGCTAGACGACAAAGCACTTACCATCATTGCAACTCGCATAGTAACCAGGCAACCCGCCGTCACTGCATCGTACAGCCAAGCACAACTTAAGAGGCCATCTCCGCCATCCTCGTCGCCATCCCATCATCCACAGAAGAAGAAGGCCAGACTGCAGTGCTTTCGGTGTGGAGGAGCAGACCACTTACCAGGCGACTGCACAGCAGAATCAACCGTCACCGGGCACCCAGTGGCCCGAATTGCAACCTCAGCTAAGAGCGCACATGCCCTTGCAGCCCCGGGCGGAAAGATTTTCTGCATCAGCTGGGCGAGATTCTCCAGTTGCCACTTTGCCAACGCATGCATCAATTACCATGGATGCAGCATCTGTGGAGATGCTGCCCATGGCGCAGGAACCTGCAGAGCAGTCCGTCCTAGATCCTAGGCAGGTGGTGACACCCCTCATCACATCGAAACTCGAAGAACTACTATATGAATATAATATATACGAGGAATGGGGACATATGATATCCAATATAAAGGAAGGCTTCGACGTAGGAGTCAGAGAAACACCGAAAACCACACTATCCTTTCGAGAACCACACATCTTCACAACTAAATGTCGATATCATAGACCAATATATAATCAGCGAGCAGAACGCTGGGCGTTACTCTCGCGCATACTCAATCTCGGAACTAGAATCCTTAATCGGCCCTTTTCGCACGTCCCCACTTGGCCTCGTACCGAAGCCTCATTCCACGAAATTCAGACTCGTTCAAGACATGTCATACCCACGCGACAATCCTGAAAGCCCCTCTGTCAATGCAGGCATAGACCCAGACGCATTCCCAACAGAATGGGGCACATTCGACAGTGTAGTGGAGTTGATTCTCTCGCTACCAGATGGGTGTGTCGCAGCGACATTCGACATCGCATCAGCGTACCGAATTATACCGGTCCACCCCAGCCAACAGTGGGCCCTGTGCATTCTATGGCGCGGTCGGGTTTACGTCGATCGAGCCCTCATGTTTGGCTTAAGCTCAAGCGCAGGAGTCTTCGGCTCAGTAGCAGACATGCTAGTGGCCATATACGAGAAAGCTGGTTTCGGCCCAATTCGAAAATGGGTAGACGACTTCTTCGTCATCCGCCTCCCGCACCAGAAGTGGACAGAAGAAGAATTCATCGAGCTGTCAGCCGCCTTCGGAGTACCATGGAGCTTAGAGAAACTGCGGGCCTTCGCAATTATCCAACGTTACATTGGCTTCGACTGGGACTTATCACGAAGAGTAGTCTCACTCCCGGAAGAGAAAATGGAAAAAATCCTATCATTGTTACAATCGTGGCTAGCAAAGGGCACGCGTTTCACAGCAAACGAAGCAGCAAGCCTGCACGGCAAGCTAGTCCATGTATCATCGATATTCCCACTGATTCGCCCTTTCCTTCGATCAGTGGCCCTTTTCGCCAACAAATTCAAATCACGACGAGCGCGTCTTCATGTACCGAGCTCGCTTTCTGCCGACTTACACTGGGTAACAGAGATCCTATCAGTATCCCCACGCGAAAGACCTCTACGCACCCAACACCCAATCGACCCCCAGTGGTGGGGCGATGCGAGCACATCTTTCGGAGTAGGCATCGTGATCGGCCAGCATTGGGCAGCATGGAAATGGAAAGAGGGTTTCAAGGTGGGCCCAGGCTGCGAACACGACATTGGCTGGGCCGAAGCTACCGCAGTAGAGCTAGGTTTGAGGTTAGCCCTCCATCTTGGGCTATCCGAACGAGCAGATGTGAAAGGCCAATCCATCCTAGTCCGTTCGGACAATGCTGGAGTAGTCATGGCAATAAACAAAGGCCGCTCACGCAATCAGCCAACAAACATCATCCTCAAGGAAATCTATTTGCTACAGGTAATATCAACGAGCATGGATTTCAAGCTTACTTATCTTGATATAGGCGCACCATGGGATACATCTCAAAGTCGAGCACGTACCTGGTCAAATCAACATCTCAGATCCACTCTCGCGAGGCGACATTCAAACCTTTCTAGGCAATTCTTCTGGCCCATCATTCAAGACCGATTTTCCACTCCCGTCGCATCTCAGCGACAAAATGTCATTTGTTACAGTCTGACCTCCTCGTCAATTGAAACCACACCCCCCACACCCCAGAATTTATTATCCCTTCGAGAAATCTCCCCTCCGCCCCCCCTGTGCAGCTGAGGAACGTATTTTTCATTGGCGTGGCATCAACACCCCTCCACCGTCAACGATAGACCACCCAGTCATACAGTTCCTCGCCAACATCTCCAACCAAGCATCGCTACGAGAAACGACTAGCTATGGCTCGGGTTTAAGAAAATTTCACATTTTTTGCGACATATTCTCCATCCCGAAGCTGACCGTCTGCCAGCATCTTTCGAACTGCTGCACTCATTTGCCCTTGGGCCGTTTCCGATCCTTCCGCAACAAAACATTTTCTAGAGTCTGCGACAACCGAAACAGTACCCTTTGAGCCAGTTTCCGTATCAGTCGCGAGAAAATACCTCTCTGCAATCGCGCCTGGCATTTGGCACAAGGATGGCCACCTCCGCTATCACCAGAACCTTCACGCGGATCAACTGGTCACTTCGCGGAATGGAGAACCTGCAAGGAACTCGCTGTAGACCTATCAGACCCCCAATCACACTCCATATGCTAGCTGCCATCAAGGCCACCCTACGAATAGATCAACCATTTGACGCGTGCATATGGGCAATGTCCAGCTGTGCCTTCTTTGGGATGATGCGGTTCGGGGAAGTCGCAGTCAACACTCGCGCAAGTTTCGACAAGTCAAAACACATCACGCGAAAAGATGTTCACCTCGGATTCGATCTGACTGGGAAACCTTATGCCAGACTTGATCTCCCACAAGCCAAGACAGCAAAATCGGGAGAGCCTCAATCCGTTTTCATTGTAGAACAAGGAGATCTCTGCCCAATTCAGGCATTGCGAAACTTAGCAGAAGTAGTCCCAGCGCTACCAGACGACCCATTATTCTCGTGGAGGGACAACAAAGGAGTCATTCGCCCAATGGTCAAGACTCGCGCCATCGAAAGCATCAACAGCATATTAACCGCCTGGAACTGGGGAACAACGTTTGGACATTCATTTAGAATCGGCGGCGCCTCATTCTACCTCGCTAACAAAGTAGACCCAGAAATAGTGCGCATAGCGGGTCGATGGAAATCCCTAGCGTATGAGACTTACATCAGGGCATTCGAGCAAGTCGCAACGCAACACCTCGGCGGCCTGGCAAATATCCACACAAACCATTAATAAGCTAGATCGCTCTGTTGGGTTGGCC